TGAAAGATAAACAACATACTGAGAGAAGATATTTGCAAATATTTGCAACACATGGCACAGACAAATAATTAATATCCAGAAAAAATACACAGAAGACCAATAACCAAATAAAACTAAAATGAAATATACAGAAAAGGAACCTAACTGTGTGGTAAATATAGGAAAATGGTTCTTCTCATTAGTAATCAGGAACACATAACCTGAACACTTGGCAATAACATTTTACAATCCCCCCACTGGCAAAGCATGAGAAGTCTGATCACACCAAGTGTGCCTGCATCTGTGGGGTACAGAGAGCCCAGCCCTCCCGGTGGGAAGCGATTTGGCAAAACCAATAACGGGAGCCGTGCACACCGTGACTCAGCATCTCCTCTCCCAGGTGCGCCTCCTGGCACACACTGCACCCCAGGCCTGGGGGCGGGACCAGGAGGGCCGGTGGCCGCAGCAGCGCAGTCATGGAGAGCGAGGAACCACTCAGCCCCACCAGCACCAGAAAGGACAACGAAGCCACAAGCAGTGTCGGGACCAACGGCACAGGCAGCTGCACGAGTACGTCTGGTTCATGTGGTCAGATGCGGTGGGCGCTGCCGCGTGTGGAGTGTGCTGAGTGCACCCGGGACCCAGGTCACGTCTTTACCACCTAGATTCTCAACCTTCTGGCCCTTTAAATACAGTTCCTCATGTTGTGACCCAACCATAAAATTATTTTCGTTGCTACTTCATAACTGTAATGTTGCTACTGTTATGAATCGTAATGTAAATACCTGATATGCAGGATGGTCTTAGGCGACCCCTGTGAAAGGTTCGTTCAACCACCAAAGGGGTCGTGCCCCACAGGTTGAGAACCGCTGACCTAGAATGTGGCACAGGAAGGAAGTACAGCCAAACCCAGGCGCGCGAGGGGAGGGGGGGGGGGGGGGGGTAGGGCGCAAGACAGAAGAGGGAGCCAAAAGGCTTCAACTCCATCTCTGATGTGGTTTCTTTGCTGAATATGTCAACTTATCATCTAGATACTTTTAAATACATTTACCTTTAAAACAACCAAAGTTTTAAATGTGTTAATTCATGATGTCGGGTCCATGAACGTTTATTATATTGATCAGTTTTTTAAAATATTTTTAATCCTGGCCTGTGTTACAGGGACACAGGTTCAATTCCCAGTCAAGGCAAATCGATGAGTCTCTCTCACATTGATGTTTCTCTCTCTCTCCCTCTCCCCCTCCTCTCTTCCTTCCACTCTCTCTAAAAATCAATAGAAAAAATATCCGCAGGTGAGGATTAATAACAAAAAATACTTTTAGGATATTCAAAAACCGTTTTTTCTAAACTCTCCCATTACTGTGGGGGTCCCCTGTGAGCCTGATGTCACTGGGGTGACAGGCAGAGATGCTCCTCTCTCGCTGTCCCTGAGGCCTCTTACCCACCCTCACTCTGCCCCGAGGGACCGGCTGGGCACCTGGCCTCCCAGGTCACTCATTAGTAAGTTGTACTGGGTAACCCCCTAGGGCCCTCCCCCAGCCCATTAAGGGAAAACCCTTCTCCTTGCTGCTTTCAATAGGCTGCCATGTTATACTTTTTTTGTTCACAGAAATTTATTTATTGGAATTATGAATATACTAGAGGCCCGGTGCACAAAAATTTGTGCACTCGGGGGTGGGGGGTCCCTCAGCCCGGCCTGTGCCCTTTCGCAGTCTGGGACCCCTCGGGGTGACCACTTGCTGGCTTAGGCCTGCTCCCCGGAGGATTGGGCCAGGATGGCAATCAGACATCCCTCTGGCAGCCCGGCAACCCTCGGGGGATGTCCACTTGCCAGCGGGGAGCAGACCTAAGCTGCAGTCGGACATCCTTAATGCTGCTGAGGAAGCAGGAGAGGCTCCCACCACCACGGCTGTACTGGCAGCCGTCAGCCTGGCTTGTGGCTGAGCAGAGCTCCTCCCATGTCAGAGCGTCCTGACCACCAGAGGGCAGCTCCTGCATTGAGCATCTGCCCCCTGGTGGTCAGTGTGTGTCAGAGTGACCAGTCATTCCCAGTCTTTCTGCTGTTAGGGTCAGTTTGCATATTACCCTTTTACTATATAGCAGGGGTCCTCAAACTACGGCCCGCGGGCCACATGCGGCCAGCCGAAAACATTTATCCGGCCCACCGGGTGTTTTTGCCGCCGCTGCCTGTCCTGCTTAGCAGCCGACTCGTCCAGGGCCCGCAGTGCGCATGTGTGGAATGTCTGAGGGACAGTGAACTGGCCCCCTGTTTAAAAGTTTGAGGACCTCTGCTATATAGGATAGAGGCCTGGTGCACGGGTGGGGGCCGGCTGGTTTGCCCTGAATGGTGTCCCAGATCAGGGTGGGGATCCCGCTTGGGTGCCTGGCCAGCCTGGATGATGGGCTGATGGCTGTTTGCAGCTGGTCACACCCCCTTCAGGGTGGGGGTCCCCACTGGGGTGCCTGGCCAGCCTGGGTGAGGGGCTAAGGGTCGTTTTCAGGCTGGCGGGCAACTGAAGCTCCTAGCCTCTCCTTTTTTTCTTTTTTCTTTTATTCTGGGATTTATTTACCTTCTATAGCTGTCACTGGAGCTGAGAGCTGGCTCCAGCTCTGAGGCTGCAGCTGGCTGAAAGCAGGTATCTGGGTTTGTTTAGCTTCTATAATTGAAACATTGTTGCCATCACTGCCGTTTTAAGCTCTGAGGCCAAAGCTGGCTGAAAGCACGTATCTGGAGCTTGTTTAGCTTCTATAATTGCAACTTTGTTGCTTAGAGTGTAGCTTAGAGCAGGGCAAGGCAGGCAGGGAACGTTGGCTTCCTCCGTCACTGGAGGAAGCAAGTCTCATGTTCGCTTCAGCTGCCTGGCTGCCGGCCACCATCTTGGTTGGCAATTAATTTGCATATCTCGCTGATTAGCCAATGGGAAGGGTAGCGAAGTTACGGTTAATTACCATGTTTCTCTATTATTAGATAGGATATGATCATTATGAAAAATTCCAACACAGAGAAACTAAAAAAAAAAAAAAATGCCTGGTCATCCTATTTTCTAAGAAGATTAAAGGATACTATTCACCATTTGCAGTCAGGTTTTGGTTAGGTGAGCAAACAACCACAACATTTAATCGCACCATCGTGACTGCTGATCTGTGGCCGTGTCACTCCCCCTCTGTCGGCGTCAGGCCTGGGAGTGTCTTTCACCAAACACCCTGGGTGTTTGAAACCACAGAGCATAGGGCGTGAGCCAGATTCCTGCCGATATCGCTGTTTCTGCTTTTCACCGTGGTCAGCAGTGCTGGGTAAGAGTCTATTAAATATTTGGGGAGCTTCGCCCTATTATTTCATTAAGATAAACCCTGAAGTTGGGATTTCTGGTTTATTGCCAAATTGCCTCTGGGAAGGTTGGATCAATGAGTTCCCTGAGAATCCGGTGGTGAGTGTGCAGCTCGTATCAGATGCTGGCTGCGGGCTGGGTGCTCAGCATGCGGGACAGAGTGAATTCCCAGCCCAGCCCTGGGAGGGGTGCTGTTAGCATCCCCAAGTCACAGAGAGGAAATGTACCCGCAGAGATGAGCAACCTGCCCCTCTCTGAGCTGCTGAGTCCAGCAAGGGTGGATGCTCAGGGGTTAGGGCAGAGGCTCACTCCTAACCACAACTCTACTCGGAGTTCTGAAAGCACCACTAGCTGGGACACCGTGGCCACGTCCTAACAGCCTCACCCGTAGAATGCAGGCAAGAGCGGGACCTGCTCCCTGGCTGCTGTGGGCACTGAGTGAGCGCATGCAGCGTCTAACGGAGACAGCAGGCCAGCAGGCCAGGGAGGCACTAGGAGACCTCAGGTGTGTTTGCTTCTTTCCTTATTGGTGAGCTCGAGCACTGGAAAGGCTTACTATTGGTTGGTAATTCTTTGTATAATCTGCACATTTTGGGGTCGGGCTTCTTAAACTTAACTTCCTTTTCCCGCAGGACAGATGATCTAAATAGGTCAAAAGCAGAAGCGGGGTTAGAACTTCTGCCACCTTCTGCCACTTTACTGAGCGCACTTGGCACGAGCTGCCCTGCAGGCCCTGGTCTTGCTCGCTGGGCCTCCCGTCCCTCGTTGCCACTGTCAGGGAGTGTCCCCATGTGTCAAGTGGTGGATGCTGTGGCTGTCTGTCTGCAGTTTTCTGCTGGGCTTGCTGCCGGCTTCAGAGGCCCGCCGTGTGAGTGACATTAGGCCGCCTGCTGGCCTCTGAGTCTTGGCCCAGGGCGAGCTCTGGGAAAGAGCACCTTGTCTACATGAGGCGCCCATTGCCTTTTTAAGACATAACGGTTGCTGGCAAAGGGGGTTTTGCCAAGTTGCGTGGCTCTGGCCTCCTCTGCCTGCCTCCCTCTAGCACATTTCTACCGTCCCTCTGTGCCTTCCCTCTGCCTCTCTGGGTTTCTTCCTGTGTCGCTGACCGTCTGCTTCTCCCCCCACATCTGGCTGCGCTTCTCGCTGGCCTCTGCCTCTGCCCTGGTCCTTCTTTGATGCACAGGGTTAGAAGGTAAGAAACAAAGGTGCCTCCGTGTAAGATGGCCTCTTCCCTCCCTGACAGACGCTCCCACCAGCTGTAGAGGGGCATCCACAGGCCTGCATTTTCTCATCTTGTGGAATTATTTTGATTTGACTTGATTAAGTTGAACTTAATGTGCACACTATCCTGAAAGATAAGCATTATCACCCGTTCTATTGGCTCAGAAACTGATGCTCAGCGGGCCTGGGGTTTGCTCTGTGGGCAATGGAGCCACCACGGTCACAGCCAGAGGTGCCTGGGTCCCAAGCCCAGAGCTCTTCCTGCTACATCACCCTTTCCGGTTCTCCCAGGCCCGGGAGCATTTGTAAGCTGCAGCTGGAGTGAACCAGACAAGAGCAATGCTCACTGTCCATCAAAATGAGCACAGGGACACAGCCATGCTTCAGGGACCGAGCCCCAGTGGGCAAATGCTCACCCAGCTCCCCACCCACCCCCAGCAGAGTAACACCCCTCACTGCACCCCCACTTACCCAGGAGGAGGAGGAGGGACCTCAGAAAGCCGGCCACCCAGCCCATGCTGGCTGCTCCCGGCCCTGCAGAGCGGCCGGCAGGCTGTGTGGCCCGAGCTCCTGGGGACCACAGCCAAGCCCACGGGTTGGAAGGGGAGGAAGCCACTGCCACGCCCCACGCTGCTTAGTTCCTCCCCAGCCTGTCTGTGGGCAGGGCTGCCGGAAGGCCCGACCCGGCCTCTGCCAGGGGGGTGGAGGGCTGCGGCCCACGGCGAGGGCCACTGGGACATGTTTGGGCGCTGGTTTGCCTCCTGTAACCCTCCCTTCCCCCGCCCGGGCCCCCCCCCCCCCCAAAAACACACACACACAGCACAAGATGGAAACACAGCTGGGTGCAGATTCCTGCCCAGAGACCCAGGCCTGGCGGGGGGTGGGGAGGGCAGGTAGAGGGGGAACGAGGATGTGGGCAAAGCCGCTGGGCCTGGTGCCCAGCTCCTGCAGGGGTCAGTCCCCGCCTTGGGCAGGTCAGAAAGCTGCCCTCCCCGGCCCACGTCTCAGAATAACATTTTAAATTCCTCAAATAAAGTGTAGGGATTATAAAAAAAGCCAGCTAATACTGAAATGCAGTTATAAAAATACTTAGAAAACGGACTTATGACATAGAAATATATGTGCTTCTATATCCACCCAGTAAGTGGGAGGGAGACATCTACTGCACTGACACTGGAGGGTGTGACGCGCGGGCATGTGCGCACTGGGCGATGCCCACACTGATGCCGCAGGGGAACGGGGTCAGGCCGGCGCTCCCAGGAGGAAGGCGAACTTTCCAGGAGACACTGCAGACAGAGACGGGACTTCCCCTCCAAGCGCACAGACCCGCGGGGCGCCCCGGAGCCCCCAGCGCTCCCCACAGATGCGGGGCCCAGGCGTCTGTTCTCCTTTTTGACACCCGCCAAGCCACGAACTCAAGTGTGTAAGAAACGCCGCTGTTTGACAGTGCAACCTTGGACTGTGGTTAGCAGAAGTAAGAAGGTAAAGGAAAGAAATGTGGGCATTTAGGGGCAGGCCACAGGGAATCATAGAGATAAATGTGATCCGGTCTCACCATAAATACATATATATGTGGTGTTGTTTCACTATTATTTCCTCATTATAAAAGTTATACTTATGCCTTTACATATGGCTTAATTTCTTTCCTTATCTCTGCGTAACTGTACACAGTTCTGTTGCTGACCCAAGAATAATATTGTGATTCTAAATTTTCTCAAATATGTCCAGGTCATGATAAAAAGTATAAAGTCCATTAAGGTACTAATGCAAATTTCATTATTAAAGTAATTAATCCTAAAATAATGAAAGCAGCAAAACCCAAAAGCAACTTTCATTTTCAATTTTTTCCCAGTGCTTCGTGGGAGCTGAGGACCAGGGCGGTCGTTAATGTGACTTTGGGGAAGCCATGGACTAACGCCAAGTTCAACAGCTCAAAGCTCCTTTGGCTCGGGGCTCCAGCCAGAGAAACCTAGCATGGCTGCTAAGGGGAGCTTAGGGGACAGAGCATCTTCCTCCCGGTGGGCATTTAATTTCCTCCACGCGTCGCCACCTGCAGGCTGTGTGAGAAATAGGAAACTCTGGTGTAAGCAATATTTCCCACACTATTGAAAAGAGGAACTTCATTCTTAGCCCATATCTCTTAGAAGGTTGCAAAAGTTAGCATTTATCAAATTTGAAGACCAGCAAAAATGCAAACCATGCAGATGCCCTGTGTCTTGACTTCAACCTTGGGTGATGGGTTGTCTGTTATCTGGGCGTCAGGCAGCTTCTAAGAGAAGGCTGCAAATGATGGGAGGTCTCACATTCTACCCATCTTGCCAGGAGGGATTACAACCTTCCCTGGCTTCTCTGCCTAGGAAACGAGGCTTGAGTCATTTACTAATTCCCAATTCACAGATGGGATTCTGCCCAGAATCACAAGAATTTAGTACAAATACTAATTCCCTTTGTATTAACAAATGTTATAATCTAAATAAAGATTCTAAAAATGGACCTACATGAAAAATCTCTTCTTACCCAAACAAATCCCCAAATCTAACTGCTTGGGAAATACCCCACCAGGGTATTGCTTACTAAAGCAGACAAAAACGTTGGAGAGAGAAATAGTGTTGGGGTTGAGTCAGGCTTGTTAAAAAGAAATTTAGAGTCCGTTATAATGTAGTGATTAAGAACATAGAGTTGGGGGCCAGATGGTCTTGACCCAAACTTAACCTCTCTGCTTCTTAGTTTCTTTATTTTTAAAAGAGAAATAAAAATGTACTCATAGGGTTGTTATGAGGAGTAAGTGAATAAGTACATATGTTCCTCCTACAATAATGATCGGTGCATTGTAAATATAAGTGTAAGTGGTTGATGTAATTTTTTGTTATGTTGATTTACAAAAAGTGAACCCAATTGTGAGTGGCCTATAAAATGAATACTACAAATCTATACTGACAGATACAAGGGGTGACTTAAATAAGTGGGGACTTCCCACACATTCCCTCATGCATTAGCATAAGGCCCCTGGGGACCAGCACAGGGCCTCACAGAAGAAAACTGGTGAATCCCCAAGGGCTACACTGACAATTGTGAGAAATTGTGTGGAGACAGAGGTGGTTGGGTCTCAACATGTGCGGTGGAAAGTGGCAGCCAGGCACCACACCCCAGGCTCAGGATCAGGGAGAGCTCTCTACTTGACCTTCCCTCCCGTACATCGCCTGGATGAAGCAAAAATACAGCAGGCCAGCTGGAGGTGGTGCATTATCATCATGGCAGCACCGGAGGGAACTGACCGATGACACGTGGATGTTGATTGGCCTACCCCTGAGCACATTCCAACACTGCCTCCGCCCCTTCTCCACTCTCAATACACATATGCCTACAGCACGGAAGCCAGCTGTATCTGGAACTGAGAGGAGGGCCAAGTTACTGAGCAGTCGCATGAGGGCTCTGAAGCTTTACGGCTTAGAAGTAGAGGAAGCATGCAAATAAGCAGTGCTTGAACCCAGAACCTAAAGCCAGAGGAATCTCCACCCATCACGTCACAGCCCTCTTAGTACAGCACAATTGGAGCTGGGATTTTGCTGATGTTCAGTCTATATCACTAACCAAGGCAACAGATCATCCTAAAATAATACGAGTTCACAGGGAAAAGTAACAAGACATATGAAAACCACAAGTGCTAAATATGAAAAGTAGAAAAGCCAACCATATGATGACAGAGGAATTAGAGTTAATGGAGCAGAAAAAAAAAACATACACCACACAATAATTTAACATAAGCATAAAAAAAATATACCCAGAGAAGTAAGAGAGGCTAGTGGAAAACAGAAACAAGCAGTAATGGGGGGAAAAAATGGAGTCACTGGGTATAAAAGTATGTAAGTAAGGAACACCATAGAGGACATGAACAGAAGAAAAACAGCATAAAAATTAATTAGTGTGATTTTAAAAGGTTTAGTAACTCCCTCTGAAAACAGCATAAAGAAGAAAAAGAATAATAAATAAATGTTTAGAAGCTTGGAGGGCAGAAGTAAAAGTGTCAGCATCAATATAATTGGAATACTGGAAGAAGAGAAAAATGAAAAGGAATATCTGGAGAAATAATAAATTAAGTTTCTCAGAATTAAAGATTAATGATTTCAGATTGAAATGGCTCAGGAATGTTAAGAAGCATATATTCAGGTGGGACAGTATATTTTATTTAAGTATATTTTATTGAAATTGAATAACGTCATAGAAAAAGAAAATTTTCTAAGAGCTTCAAGAGAGAGAATATACATCACTGACAAAGGAAAAAAATCAGGTTATATCCAATATCTCAACAGATACAATGGAAGTAATCATAAAATGGAGTATGAATAAAAGAAACTTTAAACCAAGAATTTTATATCCAGCTAAACTCATTTAAATGCAAAGACAAAAATATTCTGTCATGCAAAATTTCAGAATCTCTTTCAAAACACTCACAAGAAATACACCAGCAAAAAGAGAAATCTAAAAAGCCAATGAAAGATAATGGAAGTTAGTGTTAAAAAATGTTTTTAAGTCTATTACTCAAATGTGGAATTATCCAAAGAATAAAGAGAAATATATTTCTTTTCTTACATTGCTTCTTTTTCCATTCTTTACTTTCTTTCTCTTTTGATTTTTAAAATAATTCTGGATATGCTTGTGAGCAGACATTTTCAAAATTAAAATTCTAGATATTCTAACGTGCAGTGGGAAGTGGGATGAACATAAAGACTGGGAGCACATCAGGTGGAAGTAAGCACATGCCAACGCCTATCGCAAGGAAGACAGAGGTATTGGTGAGCTCAGGAAATTTATGGGGAGAAAATCATAGGGATGGATCATGAGAGGTTAGGGATATATATCAGAATAACAAACTTCAACTATTTAAATTTTAAATAAACAGAAGAAAAATCAGTTTTGTAAAAGGAGAAAAACAATAAACAACAACAAAAAGAGTGAAAGGAGAAGGTAAAAGAATACGGTGGAAATAAATTATAAAAAAATAATTATGAAATAAGTAAATGTAAGTGGGAAAATATCATTGTGATTTAGGCATAAACAAAAATTTCTTAAGACAAAAATTATAATAGTAAAAACTGATAAATTATACTTCACTGAAATTAAAAACTGTGCAGCAAAAGACATAAATAACAGAGTGAAAATACAACTCATAAAATGGAAGAAGATATTGATAATACATGTATTTGACCCAGCCTTCATTTTTAGGTCTTCATGTTTCTCTAACACAAGACAATTCTCAATAGAAAAATGGGCAAAAGACTTGAGGAGGCACTTCACCAAACAAAGGCTATGTCAATAGTAAGAAATATATGAATAGGCGCTCAGTTACATGTGTTAGCAGAGAAATACAAATTAAAATATCAATACAATTCCACTACATACCCACCAAAATAGTTAAAATGATAAAAACAGAAAATACCAATAGTTAGTAAAAATGTAGAGCTAGCCCTATCCAGTTTGACTCAGTGGATAGAGTGTCAGCCTGCAGACTCAAGGGTCCCAGGTTCGATTTCGGTCAAGGGCATGTACCTTGGTTGTGGG